GCTCTTGCCTTCTAGTCATTTTCAGTTCCAATATACTTAACCTAAGCCAATTTGTGTTGGTTCAAATGCGGACGCAACATGTTTCTTTGGAGGCTGAAAACTTGGAGATGTTAAGGTCGCACAGTGCTTGAAGCCGTTGACAAAAACTCTAAGCCCATGATAGCAGCCATGCCAACTGCAAGCTTCTAAAGCAAGTCTGGCACGGTACGAGCCATTCAAAGGCAGGCTTGACCGTGTCAAGGCTCTGTTGACACCCGTGTTGAAAATATTGTTCAAAGTTGATAAAAAAATGATTGTTAAATGTGGAATGAAAATCAATTTTGAAGGCCAAATATTGGCCTATGCGGTCTTGGCTGCAGTCGCAAAGGCCAAGCAGGGATTAAAATCCCTGCCGTGAAGAGAACTAAGAGGTTGCATAGTGTTGAACCGCATAAAAGGCCAAAAGAGTCGTTATTGACCGTTTTGTTCAATTTTTTGATGACTTTTGGAGGGTTTTTTGGCACCACTTCGAATGACCATGTCTGTTGGCTATATATAGGTGGTTTGTGATCATTATAATGATGTTGAAAACATACAAAAACCATAGCCATATTCAAGAACAAATATCTTTCCAAAAAAAAGCAAGAAATCACAATTTTCTTCATCATATTCAAAACTTGAAGAACACTAAAGAAGAATTTGAATATGATGAAGAAAATTGTGATTTCTTGTTATTTTTGGAATGATTTTTGTTCTTGAATATGGCTATGGTTTTTGTATGTTTTTAAGTTTTGGAGAATTACATTTGATGCTTGAGTGTTAATTATTTACAAGGCTTGTTCAAATCTTGCAAATCATTTGTCTTAATCCCTACAAGCATTATTTCAATTCGAGAGGGGGCAAATATAGTTTGAGGACAACGATATCGTGTTCAAGTCATCGGCGTTTGTTTTCAAATCTATTTCCCGGTTTGGTGTTTGGTTCGTTGCTTTAATTGGTGATTTTCATTTTTCTGGTTTTGGTTTGTTGCTTTATTCTCCGATCCCTCAAGCAGAAGTCATCAAATTTCCCAACAACCTGTAATCTGAAATGAAGTAAGAAAATATGAATGGATTAAGAAAAAAATTCTGATGGAGTGCATGCAAAGAATTTTTGTTCATAGCAGGAAATGCATCTAATGCAGTCTGAGAACATATTCCTGTGCTTCAAACTGCAGCAGAGTTATCGTCCTATGCAATGATATTTTCTCCAAAAAAAATTCCAAGGTGATTGAGAGAAGAAGCAACTCAATTTCACGTGGAGAGAGAGACTTGCTTCTCCTCTCAACTTCACATGGAATTTTAGTTGAGCTTGTGTAGTGTACTGTATGTTTAAGGCGGATAATTTATACTTGCATTAATATGAAAGGAAAATAAATTAGAAGTTTAAATTTAATACCAAATATGAACATAAATACGAGTTAACACGATAAGCTCTCTTCAAATGAATTGGAGACGTAATTTTCCATTCGCGTGATCAAATTTTGAAAAATGGGCGATCATCCTTAAGTTTGCTATTGCAGTTTGTCTTGTTTCCAATGAAAGCTACTTTTATCCACTCCTCCGATTAACAATTATTTTTTCAAATTCCCTTTAAATAATTTCTGGTGTATGGAGTTTGTAAAAATTGAAGTAGAATAATATGATTAGATCATCGGGTTATAGATCAGCAAATTATTGTTTTTATCTTCTTGTTGTTGAGTACTCAAGCGCGCGCATGTAACCCATCAGATCAACTTTTGATTTTGTTCAAAAATAGATAAATTCCTATATATGAGGCAAAAGAAACGTGGATGAGTAAGAAATAACACTTTTTTTTTTCTTTGTTCTTTTTTTTTTTTTTTTTTTTTTTTTTTTTATTTTTTTTGTTATTTTTTTTTTTTTTTTTTTTTTTTTCTATTTTTAATTTTTTTGATACTTTTTTTTTTTTTATAGTTTTAATTCTCTTTTTAATTATTTTGGTGGTGGTGGAGGAGGGTAGGGAATGAACTTAGGGGTATGGGGTTAATTGGGAATATAATTTTTTTTTGTTAGAATGTTTTAAATTGTTTTACGATAGTTGTTTGTACTTTTTTAAAAACTTAGAACTCTAGATGTAATTTTTTTATATTATTTCTTTTTTTTTTCTTTCTTATTTGTTTATTTAAGGAGGGGTATAAATTAGTCATTTTATAATGTTTTAATGGAGAAAATAGACGATAATGATCTTTTGTGCAAAGAAAAGTTGATCTGAGTTATCAAAATTGAAATGATAGGGGTGATTTACGCGACGAATGTAAATTATTGGGATGTTTTATGCCAATTACCCATATTTCATGGAAGGATTTAACGGAACATGACGGGAAGGACCAACTCCACAAGAAACGATATGGATAAACGATATGGATGTTTCTTACTAATTACCCAAATTTTTACTACACAAAAGTGTTGCAACGACCGAGTTCTTTGCATCATTTAGAATTTCTCTCTTTCTTTTGAGACATAATAAAATCTATCAATTTTGATTACTTGGAATTCAACTCATCAAATAAGTCATGGATGAAGGAACACACCATTTCAAATTATTTTTCTATGGTTGAGAGAATTATAAATTTTGAGAGAATGTGTTTTTCTTTACCTCTTTGTTGAAGCCAATATTCTTGCCAATGTTGAGAACATGTTGGCCACCCATTAAATTGGTCCAATAAATTGAACAAAATGGATGAATTCTACAACTTTAAGACATATTATAATAGATTTTCAAAGAATTGACTTATTCAAAATGCATTTTTCTTTTTTCTTCTTTTTAACTGCACATTGTCCAATAAAATAATATTACACATAAATTCAAAACTCTTCCTTGAGTCCTTCCTTTTTAACCACACATTCTTCAAAAAATCACTATTCCAAAATATATTTTCCCCAAATTTTGATTTTAATGGAGCCCAAACAAGCGTACGTTTCTTGTATGTAAGGACCGAAAAGTATAAGGTCTCAAAAAAATTGTGGAAATATATGATTATAAATGAATTAACTTTCCCTTTAATGAAGATAATAACTAAATTCTGTAATTTAAAGACACGTTAAAATATTATTTAAAAATGTAAGAGAAATGCTTTACAAGATACAACAATACAAGTTTTGTGTAAAATAAAAATAAGTCGAATGAATATTTTAAAGAATACGGGTGACACAACCATAGCTAAATTCTATTTTAGTCACTCAATTTTTTTATTCTTAATTCATTGCTAATGTCTAAATTTTATTTCAGTTTGGTCATCAAATACCTATTTTGTCCCAAATTTAATATTATTTCTTATTAGCAAATATATATTTTTATATGAACTCCTCTTGACAGCAGCTTAGCTCGTTGGTTAGACAACAATGCTATTGAAACGTAATTCTAATCATGTTATTATGGTTGCAAACTATAAATGTTACTTCATTTTTTGTATGGGGACTTGGTCAATAGATTCAGACATCTTTCACGTCCATGTAAGCTTTGCTCTGCACACTTGGACAAATTGTACATCAGACGTGGCCTTCTCCGATGGTGAGGAAAGTTGTCGCGTGCACTCTGACAATCAAATCAATCAATGTATAGGTGTGTAGAATGTGGGACGTGCTAAAAACATAAGCCACTATATATATAGAGGTCAGATCTGGGAGAGTACAAGATAAATATTTATTAAGAGCAAACTTACAGCTTTGAGAGTCTAAAATTACATTATCTTCAAATAATGTAATGTGTGAGCTTTTATAATGGGAGTGGTGGAATGGCAACCATTGGATGAAGTGACACGTGGACTCATCTTGATGGTCAAGGCCCTTTCTTAAGTGTCATTCCATCAATTCTAGGCTGTCAGGCATTTAAAGCTTTTGACAAGTGGCTACTCTAGAGTCTAATTTGATTTTAAAATATAGATCGACAATTTAACATTTTAGGTGCCTACTCTAGAGTTGTCATATCAATCAGTCATAGAAAGATTTGTGCAAAAGATCTCCTTGAAAGAAGTAATGTGAAAAGATGCTTTCCATCAGTTAGAAGGTTGGATTCCTCGGATTTCTTCATGGAGCAGATGTGGCACCTCACCTCGACATTGAGAGTTGGCCTTTCAAGATACTTCGGATGAAGAGGTACATCACCTCGATTATGATCCCACCTCGACCAAGTAAGATGGTAATGTGGAGTGCATGCTTCGTTAGTTTACGAGCTGACTACCGTGGTGATGATCCGTAGCCTCTATAGAAAAGGCGTAACAATAATTACTACACAAGTCGTCAATTTCATTAGTTCCATAAATGTCCATCTAAGAAAAATTCTTCTTCAACATAGTGATGAACATTGATATCGGCAACAAAAACGATATATTGAATTTGAAAACAAAAGAAAAGTGATTAAAATGAAATTTCCATCAAAGTTGACCTCCAATGATTTTTACCCCAACCATTTTTGAACTGAGAAAAGGTCACATAGATTATCAAATTGACATTTCGCCATAATTAGATCATTAAGAGACATCAAGAATATGACAGAAACACTCGAATTTAGTTTCTGGTTGATTTTTTTAAAGAAATAGATTTTAAGTAAATTTTTGGTAAAATTGATGAAATATATGATTGAAAAGTTGATGCAATGTGTTATTGAAAAGTTGATAAAAGTCGCAAATTTCATAAATGTGCTAATGAAAATGAATTTAAAAAAAAAAAAATTAAAAATGAGGCCAAATTCAAACCAAATTTTTTCTGATGAAATATAATAAACAAACAATTGACTATTGCAATTTTAAACATAAACATAAACTTCTTATTATTATTATTATTATTATTATTATTATTTATTTATTTTATTTTTCAAAAATTCAAACTCACAAAGAATCTCCTTTTACTCCCTCCTTGTTTAACCTCTTTTTATAAGCTTCAATCCCTTAATTACTTTCTTCTTTTTCATAAGCATTTTCAAAGAGCTTATTGAAATTATCTGATAAATATTTTGTATTACAGATGGCCAAGATAATTTTGAGATCAAAAGCCAAACCGCCACTTGCCCGGTCGCCGATTAGGCTTCGCCCCATTCGTTCTCTTCAATCCACGGTCAACACCACCACTAAAACCCCACCAGGTATTTAACGTAAATAGGATTATTTTTTTTAACACTTCATAGTTATAGACTTTTCCGATTTAAACTGAAGTTTTGTAACTTTCTTGAATGTATTTGCAACATCATTTAAATCCCACCAGGTATTTCAAGACTCAGGCTAATAAGTAGAAAAAAATGTATGTTTTTGTAATAATACTTCATATTTCTCAAATTTACTGATTTAAGTTGAACTGTACACTTATTGATTGTATTGATAACATCATTCAAATCCCACATGGTATTTGTTTCGCGCCGGTAATCGCTAACAATTAAAAAGAAATTCAGACGATTGTGTAAGGGTCAAACATCTTGAGACAAAGTCCCAAAAAAGGATGTTTTATTGATGAGAGTTACAATTGGATTTAAACAGAATGCCTCTAAGGAGCGCAAGTACACGAGTACTGAAAAAATGCTAATTAAAGTTAAACTAAGAAATTAAAATTACATATTCTCTATTTGAGAGTATTTGATTCGGAGTCCTTTCCTCTATATCTATTCTTTCCTTTTATACTCCCGTGACGACTTCTGCGTGACAAACCGCTTGGAACTGCTACCCATTTTCTTCACGGTGTCTAATTTGTCGTGGAACTGCCATCTCTAACTGATGCTATTACTTCTCGTTGNACTTCTGCCATTACTTTTCGTTGTTCAACTGCTTTCAAAGAGGTTTTTTAAATCGTGGAATGTGATAATTAGCTCGATAACTGTCTCAATAACTGCTATTCCAGATGACCACAATATCTCACATATTAGGATTCTGAGCGACTTGAAGGCCTGAGCAAAAATGAGGCTGTGGTGCTGAGCGACAGTGAGACACTCCATTCGTCCAAATTCTGGGCGTCGTGTGGGATTTGGCGATGATGTTACTGTATTCGTGGGTTCCTTCTGCACTTACCAACAACTTCATTTGGGCATTTGCCCTGGGCCTCCAATTGGGCTTCACTTTTTGGGCTGTATTTTTAATGTGTCAACAATTACCCCCCAATATAACAGATTTAATACCAAGTATTAACTTATAGCATATTCACCTTATATTTTCTAGGCAATATTTGAAATTCCTGAGAATTTCAATCATCATTTCTTTTTTCAGTTTCAAAATGTGCAACGTCACAAACCCTTATAAACCTAAAAGACGCGTCATTTCTTCGCCCACTAAATCACGTTCCCGTACTTCGTGCTTCTTCCCCTCTATTTTACTGTTCATCTTCTTGCTTCTCCACTACGTTTCAACCTTAACACCACTGCACTTTGCACTCAATGGCGTTTTCACAAACTCAATCTGAAGACGTTTTTAGTTTCGAAGATTTCCGGAATATCCTTTCTAGGCCGTATGTAAATGCAAGCTTCCTCGCACCGGCCAACGCTGACCTCAATAAATTCTAGTTAGGTCCGTCATTCAATAATGCCGAAGCCATTGAACAGGTGGCAGTGGGCCAGTTGTTTCCTTGCACCGAGGATCTTCCATTTCTGAACTCTCTGCCGTTGAAGCCAATCCGCGATAAAGGTATTCGTACTTGGCCAAAACATGATCCTAATTTCCGTAGATGACATGTATGTATGATGAATCATGGTCCCACCAAGGCAATTTTTGATAGTGCTAAAATTTTGGACTTGTTAAAAATTACCCTTTGTCCCCCAACTTATGACCCAGTGCTCTTCCCGGTTGCCCTGAGTTTCTGGTCCTCTGAGTACAATACTTTTATCTTTCCTCTTGGCCCATGTCTATTACTCTAAGAGATGTTAGAGCCTTAGTAAATCTTTTGCCTTTGGGCGACAATATCTTTCCTGATATTTTGATTTCCAATGTTGCCCTCCAATTTAACAAGAAAATAGCTGAATCTTATTTAAGCATGCAAGGCCTTTATACTGCTTCCATTTCCGAGTCTACCCATGCTGAACGTGTTGCTTTCCTTCATGTTTGGCTTTGTAAATATATTCTTTGTGTTCCCAGCTTGAAACCCTCTTTGAGTTATCTACCCCTGTCGCATGAATTAGCACGTAGTAGACCTTTGAATTTGTGCTCATTCTTTTTGGCCGCCTTTTATAGAGGCATGGCTTCCCTTCAATTCCAATTGCGGAATGGTGCGTCTCCTACTGGTAGTGGGCCCATTTGGCTTGCTCAATTGTGGTTGAGAGCCTATTTCCCCAACTTGATGCTTCACCGTCTCCCCCTCGAACAGTTAGTTGTTACGGGCTATTCATTCATCAAATGTGCCCTGTAAATATGTCCGGTAGGGACGTTTTCACATTCTTTTATACTTTGAATTCAATGCCTTCTTTCTTTCCCTTTTCTCCACATCAAATTCCTTCATACGTACGGCCTCCTACTACCTTAGCCAAAGTGAGCACCTCTTTACCTATTTGGGTCCAGTTTTTGGTTGGAAGAGAATTGTTCCATGATATTGTCACAGGAACGAATGCCAAAGCAGGGGTTGAGATATATGCTCTCCAATTTTTTGCTCGCCAACTTGGTTTCGGCCGACATGGCCGTCCCTCCTTGTTACTCTAAAAGTTTGGCCGACCGTTTCCATATTATCAGCAAAACTGAAGCTCAAGCTATTGCCATTCGTAATAAACATTTAACCGAAGGTTTTTCCTTAGCCCCTTTCAGTTCTACCACTGTTATACATCCTTTTTTTGAACAACTTTAGCCATCAGTGAAACGTAGACTATTTACAACTGATGCTAATCGCGCTTTCCATTTACTGGATAGCTCAAACACTTCCTCTGTCTCTCCTGTTTTGGCCGCCCCTGTGTCCATTAGGAGTCCTTCCTCACCAACTCGCGTTAAACTTTCTATTCCTCCATCTTCTTCTCCTTCTGCTAAAACCATCACATCCAAAGGCACCTCTAGCCGCAAACGGCCAGCTCAGCATCCCTCATTTTACAAGATGATGATGCTCCTCTCATTCTTAGGAGAAAGGTAACCAAGTTTGTTTATTCACAAACATACTTACCTATGTACTAATGGATTACTTGAATTCCTCAAAATGGTTTAGCCTCCCCTTCGAAGGCTCTAGTTTTGGCAGGTCCTGTTTCATTGCCTTTTGCAGAGGTTGCTTCGTCCAAATCAGCTGATGAAGGGACTATGCTCAAAGACAAACCCCTAGTCCCAGAATCTTCATTGAAACTAGCAGCAAAATCACAGCCAGTAGAAACATCATCTATTTCCCAGGCCGTCGACCCCCCAAGTGTTGAACCGAAAGGTAATACATATTCTAATGTGTTACATTTGCTTGTACTTCTGGTTTTTACTCGTTGCTTTCTTGAAATATACAGAGGCTCCCTTGGAGTTGCCCGTTGTGACAGAGTCTTCCCGTCTAGACAAGGGTAAATCTCCACAAGTAGTGGAGGCAACTGCGACGTACCTGAATCCCCCAGAATTGATAATACAGTAACCTTTTAACTCACTTTCATCTTCACTTTGCTCGTCATGGCAAAGGTGTTTATTATTGGCTTCTTTCTTTGCAGGGTGCTGATGACATTGTGCGTTCTATCCAAGACTTGTTCACTTCCTGGGAACAAGTAAAGACACCTCGCCCTACTTCAACTAGTTATTCTTCTACTTCATCTTCCGCTTTTTCAGAAGAAAATATGAAGTCTCTAAAGCAGTCAATATTCGAGTACATGTCTTTCAGGGGCATGGAAATTGGCCAGGCCAGCGCTGCTAAACAGAAGGATAAGTTTGAACTGTTGAGTACAAAGTTGACGCAAGCACTTACGCTCCTTTCGCTCAACGTTTCGGCCGACTTTAAAGCAACATTGAGGGTTGTCCACTCTGAGATCCTTTCCTTATTGGCCAAGCATGCAGACTTAAAGGCCAGGAGTACTAAATATCTTCGTGCTTCATCTGAAAGGGAATCTTTACTGTTGGAGATTAAAAAGGTTGAGGACGAATTAAAAGAAATCTCTTCTGAAGTTATGGTCGAAGATTCTCTAATGGTAAGCTTGGTTGCAGAAATGAAAGAGCTTCAGGCGAAGACGAGGGACTGTAAGGCGAGGATAGCTGCCAAGAAGTGTAATGCTTCTCAGGGAATTGAGCGAGTCAATGCTTTGGTTGAGCAGTAAAAAAATTGGAAGTTGACGACGATTTTGTAATCGAGCTGGACATTGCTTCTTCTCAGCAGAGCGAGGATTGGGAAAAATTTAGAGAAAAAATACGTTCGGCTTGGGGCGAACTATAGTTAAGACATCCAGTGCCTTAATTTTCTTCATGTAATTTCGCGCTAAATGCCATTGCGAATTTTTTATGTAACAACAGTTTTTTATCATTAATGAACAACTGTTTTGTTTACTTGCGTATTTATTGACGTTATATTTAATCGTCGATCTCCTCAAGCATTTAATTGCTTTTTGCTAAAATTCGCGTACATTCTCTCTTGGTATTCCCACCTCTTTTCCCAAAACTTTGGACCATTTGATTTTAGTTATTATACAAGAATGTGGCCGTCCATATTCCGTCATTTCGTCTTCACGACTCTATAAATGCCCATGTACTTCGCACTTATCATTCTATTTTTATCCTCTTCTTTGAAAACTAATTTGCTGCCATTGTTTTGGCACTTTGATCATCTAAAATAAAAATTGATCGTTTAATCCACCCACTTTGTCATCGGTTTTGAGTCACTTTTGGTATGGGAGGTATAGGAAATATTCTTTGGTCAGCAAAGTTCTTCCCATCGTCTCCACATCTTCCAAAAGGAGTTCAATTTTGGGTGACTTTTCGGCCACTTTGCTTGCTGAGATTGCTACTCAGTCTCCTTGCCCATTATTGCAGCAATGCAATTGAGAAGGCGATTTTGAGTGTCCTTTTCTTCCTTGTTGTTTGTTGAGAGTGCTTTGCAGCCTCTCTACTCGCCCTTGCAGCAGTGCGATCAAGATGGCGATCAAAGCCAGTTCACCCTCTTACTTGGCGATTGACCAAAGAATTAGTCTGTTCTCAATCGTAACTGTTAGAACATTCAATATTTTGTATTTCATTTTGTAATGGATATTTGATAATAATAAAGGACTTTGCTTGAACGTATTTCGTTCATGCGTTATTCATCCATGATTGTTTGACATAATATTGATTATACTTTTATTTGTTCACTTTCCCATAAGAAAGGAACATATTTTTTTAAATATTTGCCATTAATAAATCTTACGTGCTTGGTGCCATCCAAATCTTCTAAATGATAGGATTCATTAGGCAACACATTATTTACTTTATATGGTCCTTCCCAATTGGGCGACCATTTGCCATATTTCGGGGCTTTGCTATTCAGAGGGAGTATTATTAGTTCTGTTTATCATTCAGGATATTATCCCTTATAATTGAATTGCTCCGAGGTTAGTAAACCCATTGCCACCATTCGAGTCTGGCATCCCACTCCCCCTGGTTCGAAGTAGATGGACCAAAGAGTGGCTCTATTCCTTGATTTAAATTTAAACCAAGAGAATTATGTGGTAAATTATGTCCCACAATTGTCCTAGTTTGAAAGTGGTTTGCCACAGGCATAACTGGCTGACATATTTGGCCTACTAGCTTATTCATTATCTCATTCAACGTGTTCAGTTGTTTGGCCATATTATCATAATGTGCATTCCTACTTTGGGTAAATCTTTCCATATTATGAATATTTCGTAGATTTACCTGTTCAATGACATCCTGGGTGAGTTCGCCGAGCAATGCACGCATGGTTTTAGGACTCAGCTCTGTCATTGGTTCGTAACGACTGTGATTGCTTTGACTTGGTCCCTCTGTTCGTGGAGAGCTCTGCTGCTCTTCATATCGCTCGATTACAGACTAGACTACTCCCCGACTTGCTGGTTCTTTATCCAAATGTTTATGAGGCATAATGCTTCATTTGTTGTATCTTCAACACTAAACACCAATGTCCCACTGGGCGTGCCAAATTGTTTCGCGCAGGTACAATTAAAAAGAAATTTAGACGATTGTGTAAGGGACAAACCTCTTGAGACAAAGTTCCAAATAGGGGTATTTTCTTGATGAGAGTTACAATTGGAACTAAACAGAATGCCTCTAAGAGGCGCAAGCATACGAGTACTGAACAAAGACTAATTAAAGTTAATCTAAAAAATTAAAATTACATATTCTCTGTTTAAGAGTGTTTGATTCGGGGTTTTTTCCTCTATGTCTTTTCTTTCCTTTTATACTCTCATGACGACTTCTGCGTGACAAACCGCTTGGAAACTGCTACCCATTTTCTTCATGGTGCCTTCTTTCAAAGAGGTTTCTTAAATCATGGAATGTGATAATTAGTTTGATAACTGTCTCAATAACTGCTATTCCAGATGACCACAATATCTCACATATTAGGATTCTGGGCGACTTGAAGGCCTGAGCGAAAACGAGGCTGTCGCGCTGAGCGACAGTGAGGCACTCCATTCGTCCAAAATTTGGGCGTCGTGTGGGCTGGACGATGATGTTATTGTGTTCATGGGCCCCTTCTGCACTTACCAACAACTTCATTTGGGCCTTTGTCCTGGCTTCCAATTGGGCTTCACTCTTTGGGCTATCTAATTTGGGCTGTATTTTTAGTGTGTCAATAGTATTTCAAGATTAAGAAGCATTTTTTTTTATTTTTTATTTTTGGTGTGTGCGCGCGCTTTTTCTTGATTTTTATACATTTTATTGGCAATAACAGGTTCCTTACCGAACTCCCAGTTGCCTAAACGCAATTGGGATATGAAAGAACCGGATCTTCGACCGGAGTACCGTACAATTTCATGTGAATTGAGGTCTTTGGCTAAAATGGTACATCAAGAATTTGGAACAAGGGATGATGTTGGATTTGATGGAGATGGTTTTAATGTTAATAGTAGTTGTTTGTTTGAAAGGGGCAGGTTTTATGAAGAATACTCAGCTAGAAGAAATGAGATGTTGAAGAGAAAGAAAGGGGACGAGGAGAAGAAGGCAGTGAATGATCTTGGTGTTAGAGTTGAGTCTTCAAAGAAAAGTGGGGCCAAGAAGTTTGAGAGCAGGAGTAAAACGGCAGCCGCCGCGCCGCCCATGGCGGAGAGGGAGGCTGCAACGACTAGGTCATCGTTGAGGAGTTGTACAAGCAAGGCCAAGGAGAACGAGAAGCCTCCTCCCTTGCCTCTGTATGGTCAGAAATCCTGCATTTCAGAGCGGAAAGTTGGAGTCACAAAGGTCAGGAAGAAGTGGTTTTGAGCATGTTTGCTTAGCTTAAAAGTACTTACAAAATTTACTTATTTTGGGGGGCTTGTGGGGGAAACTGAAGGTCATAAAGGGTTGAAAGAATTTTTTATCCTCTTATGATATGTGGGTCCTTATTGGAATTTGATGTCAGCTAGTTATTACTCAATTATTGTTGATTGGGTGTGATTTAGGGTCCTTATTGGAATTTGATGTCAGCTAGTTATTACTCAATTATTGTTGATTGGGTGTGATTTAGGATGGATGTATTTATTTGTTAATACTTCAGTTGTGTGTTTTTGTGCATATTCTATAATCAAAACAGATGATGATGTTCAGTTGATCTTCGAAACCACCAAAAATGTGTTCGTATAGTTTTCTTATGTTATAAAGCGCTAAATGTGTCATTTGATCTTCAAGACATTACATGATTATCTGAGTGAGAGAAAAACACTTGATACATTACTTCCTTAGCATGTCTTCAATCCAACTTAACAAAAACATCTCGATACTCTCGAGTCTCCACATTTCTAGTGTCATCATTTTTCATCGCCTAGCAAGAAAATTCTTTTGGAAGAAAGTGTTTGAAACTGGTTAAATTTAAGGGAAATAAAATAGAGTAATGCTACAGGTACATAAATATTTACATAAGAGTTCACATAATTACACGTGGCACATCATCCAACCTTTAATTCAAATTTCACACTTAAACATCAACAATTGAATGATTGACACATCACTATTATGTGCACCATTATGTGCCTCTAACATTATTCAATAAAATAATGTAACTTCAAATTCAAATTAAGAAAATAGGTTCTGACAGCAAAAATTCCTCTGCAAATTGTGTTCTTGGAAAATGGGGTGAGCAGGACATAAATACAGAGGTCCATTCCATGAACATGTATACCCACCAAAATTCTCTTCCCTGTCACATAGTTCATGGGAAAATATTGACGAAGTTATCAAACTGCTAGTGTAATAAAATTAGAAATAAAAATATTGTTCAACTTCCCAAAAGTGTTAGCTGGTCTTTCGATAGAACAAGTTCGAATCCAAGTGATGTCGATGGAACTATACGCAGAGATTTGTCTCGTATAAACTTTTAACCACACCAAAAATCGTGAGGATCTATCATGGTCCAGTCATTTTCAAGTCGTCATGAGAAGGTAAAGAAGTCCCTTCAAATATTCTACAATTTCCGATCCTCCCAGCTTCGAGCTTCCATATACTCTATCAACAAATGTTATCGGAACCTATCAACAGGTAAAAACCACAATTAGAGGTCATTATAAATGTGATATTACACAGTAAAATCCTTTTAGCCTATCGAAAATCAAGAACCAAAATCCCAAGAGAAATGTTCGAGCACTCAACAATCTAGCACACGATTCTATTTATGGTCAAATGGTGGTTCATATAATATCCCTATGCTACAACATGAAAACTATTCACACGGCATTTTGCCATAAAATGCAGACAATATTAAACCTTCAAAAAACGGCTGTAGAAGGATCTCAAAAGGTAAGAACTCATCTACAAGTTGTGAACTATTAAGAATCCAACTTCAATAATGGCTGGGAAATAAAATTCCCAAAAGACAGGTAACATTGAGTATTTTTGTACATGTGAACAAGATTTATGCATGAATGAGCTCTTTAGTGAAGGGCAATCAATGATGAAATCGAAATATAGTAAAATGATATGCATGCCCATCAGTAGTAAAGGACTGCAGATGGAATAGCATCACAAGCCTTGTATAGTAATCCAGGGTTATATTAGGGAAGCGCACAATCAGAGCTGAGCTATATATGCAAAGTTTTAGAATTCCTCCTAGACTGAGCCTTAGGATTTTGTGGCTCGACTGTCTCTAGTTTTGAAATATTGAGTTCAAGACTGACATTTTTAGTTTGAGTGTTATTACCAAAAGAATATTCATATACAACAAACCAATTATATTTAAAAATAATTAAAGGTTTCACTTTAAATTAATCAAATATTAAATCTAGCAATATAATTTAAAATCATCAAATTATTGCGAGCTTCATACAACTTTCTCCAAACTTGAACTTTGTTCCATTGATTATTTTTGAACATCAAGTTCTTTTAATCCCATCTTTGCAGATGCACCACATATTTCAAAGCAGCAGTTTGAAGCCCAGTCATTCTCACAAAATTACCAAGAGTTTTCACAATCAACTCCAATGATGAAGTAGCTATCTCATGTTGATAAGATGAAAAATATAGCATTCATACGGAGAACGTTATCAAAAATTGCATATTACATATAACAACTACCTCTTCTATGTGGTAACCCTTTCTTGAGGCCCGAACAATCATCTCCATCTGGAAAACATAGCCTTTACTCACACAAGAACTTATGACATCTTCAAGCACAGATTTTTGATAAAGACTTCAAACCCAACAATAATAATCAAAAGCTTGTAGGTGAAGTACAAAGACATCAATTAATTGCTACTGAGAAAAAAAATTAAAAAAATTGATTGTACCGGAATGATCCAGTTAAGTCTGATACACCCGGCCAAAGAAAAGTCTGTGCAAGAACATTTGCCCCTCTGCTAGTCAATTTACGCCTAAGATTCCATCCATGCACACCGCCACCTTTAACATAACGAGTTCCAGTGACTATACTTGCACCTGTCTCCATCTGTTTCCTGAACTCAAGAAATTTTCAGCTAGTAAGCATATTTAAAATACAAGGCTCAAAGAGTTTTTTGTAATTATTCTTACTTGATGAAGCTCGGCAGGTATTTTGGCTGCAGACAAACATGAAAAAGAAACAAATATCTAATTAGATTAATTAAAATACAAGCAAACACTGGAAAATGAGCAAAGAGTGAAGAAGCAAAGTGTATTCACAAAGGTTATTGATGCAATATCACATAAGATAATTAATTATCTAGTTTCCGATTGTTATTCGTATTTTAGGAAACATGATTAGGTTATGATTTAATAATTTTTATAACATTTCTTTACTTATTTTCGCTTTAGTATACAACAAAAACATTTGAACAGCCCAAAAACAAGAAAGATTGTCTCAGCAGCAGCAATCCCTCTTTTCACTTTAGTAGTTTTAAAAAAAAAGGTTCACGGGGTACTGTTCACGCCCGGAATTTCAATTTTAGATTTTTCTTCAATAAAAAAAAAATGGAGACACTGCTGTTGTCCAATATTACACCAAAAGATGTTGCTGAGTTGTTGCTGTTCCACAAAACAAAAGCTAACCCTCAAACCCCAATATAACCATACACACTGCCCGCCAACCTCAAAACCTTAACCATAGACCCAACCTATAATAAAATTTCCCAGCCCATTAACCCAGGCTATACACAAACAGGCCCAACTTTGACACAAGAAGTCTGGCCCATTCCAAGTACATCACACAGCCCATTCCCTATACACAAGTCTGGCCCATTCCAAGTACATCACACAGCCCATTCCCTATACACAAGTCTGGCCCATTCCCAGTACACCATACAGCCCATTTTACACAAATCTAGCCCAACCCCACCAAATCCGGCCCAAATACCATCCTCTTCACTAAAACCTTAACCCGTCGCCGGCTTTCTCTCCACCTTGACTCAACCTCTCTCTGGCATCCGCTTTCCATAACCAAGTCACTCATCCGCACCAACCCACCACCACTGCACTCATCTTCCTCTCCTTACACCGCTAACTCACAACTTGCTTCGCCCGCTGCCACCCAAACCAAACTATATTGGTCGCCACATACCTACCACCTTCTCTATCACCATACCACTTCGCAAATCACCACCTCCACCACATTCTTCATCATCTAAACATCCAAAACCTAACCCAACCCTGCAGTTCAACTGCTCTATCACAACTCAGCAATAAAACCCTGCACCACACCCTACTTTTCTCGTCTTCGCACACACCAATAATCACTGCCACCTCCACCTCGGTGATCAACCTTACCGAAAAAATACGCTACAATCTCCAGAAGGTGCAGTGAAGTCTGTCCACCACCAGTGCCACATTCGGGGTTCACCAGCCACACCAACTGGGTCTCACATTGGCTGTCAACTTTTTCCATATCCTCCCAACCCTCTGTGCCGACTGGAGATATTGGAAGAGGAAAACTGGTCCCATCTAGCTGTACATTCGTTACAATCATTTGAACTGAACAGGAATATAGGGTGCTCCACCAACGTCGATTTGAATCTCGAAAGGTATATCAATTATGTTATTTGAAAGTTCTATTTTTTATTTAAGTGTTTGTGGCCATTGACATCTCATATTTCACATAACAAAATAAAATATAATAAAAAAATGTCATATCTTGCGACATACAATTCATATAACGTCTTTAACACCTACAACACACCCCTAACTTTGTCTCATAATAGTGTGTGTTACATGTCTACTTGTCAGTACAATAATCCGTCTTCTGGAAATTATGTTGACACCGTTAATTATTTTTCTCGACACGTTCCATCACAACCATGGGATTTTGATGGCCTCACTGGACATGACTCATTTCTTGATTTGCTCAATAGTCTTGAAATATTCTTTGCCTATCAAAATTTGAGTGACCCACATAAAATTTGTTATGCTAATATGCCATTAGTCGGTTTTGCTAAGACTTATTGGAGATCGTATTTGCGTAACCGTCTAGGTAAACGCACTATCACCTTGTAGGATGAGATGAAGAAATCCTAAGTAATAAATATGCCCGTCTATTATCGAAATTATTTGTTAAATCAATTCTTTTTACTCTGCAAGCAAGGTACTTCTACTATTTGTGAGTATCTAGCCCATTTTGAAGAGTTGTTGAACAATTGTCAACGTCTAGGTTTATCGATAGTTTGAATCCTGAAATCTTGCCTAATGATCATCACAGTTCAAACAATCACCTTTCGAGTCTAGTTGTATTCCTCTTGAGAAAGATATGACGTTTTCATTGTTAAGCCAATTGAATATTCTGATAACGAGAATGATGAATTATCTATAGTGTTCCCACCTAAGTCAGA